AGAGAGAGAGAGAGAGAGAGAGAGAGAGAGAAAGGGAGTCGTTCTTCCACAGCAGCCAGCCTGTGTCTTCCCTCTGCCCCGTTTTTCTAACCAACGTTTCTCTTCTTTCTGAATTATCTTGCGGTTCCCCGCTCGCGGGGCCACAGATTTTCATTTCAGATCTGGCTGCGGCACAGTGCAGAGGAGAAAATAGAAGTCGCTTCCCGTTGATTTCAATCTGTTTGACAGTGCTCTCCTCGCCTCTTCTTTTCGCTCGTGGGAGGGCCGCGATGCGCCGGATGCTGGCGCACCGCGTCGTTGCCCGAAGACAACGAGACAAGATTCGCGACGCGAGGCATCCGTTATCGTGCCACGGCATCTCCCCAGCTATTTCACGCTCCCGTTTCTCTCCTTCCGTCTCTGGCTTTGTCCTCTTAGCTGGAACTTATTGGTCCCGCGTCCCGTGGAGACGTTTCTCCCCTCTCTCCCGAAGGACATTGATGCGCAATTACGTGAAAGTCCCGTCGTCACGGTCGTGTAAACTCGAAAACGTCGACCGGCCTGCGACTCGATCCCCTGCGAATGGGCTCGTTCTCCTTTATAGCTATGTAAATCGGTCCGGTCGGACAGTAGTGAATTTTATTGTTTCGCAGAAACCTTTTCTTATCGCGTTGCAAAAGAGGTTCTAAAGTCTTGAAGAACGACGATGCTGTTAGTTTGGAGTTACGTACTCTAACGTGTGTTCTTTACACCGAGTAATTAGATGTAATAATGAATGTTTGTTCTCGGTACAAACACAACAAGTTTAGGACTATATTCTAATTAACGGACGAACGCTTCGCAAGATTGTACGAAATTTTATTTCGCTGTTGGGATAACATTAGATTAGCCTGGCATAAAAATATGTTGCATCCAGATTATTATTGATGTTATTACTATCAATCGATGCACGACGCTAAGATCCAATAATACATTTTTACATTGCAAATTGCATTATATGCGATGCAGAAAAATAGAAAATATGGTTACAAATATTTGTAATGTGATTAAATATCTTATTCTGAAATGTATTAGAATACATAGTCCTTATGGATTCCGATTTTAATTTAATAGCTGAAGTTTATGTTTAATTTAGAATTTGTAAATAGGAATCAATCCTTAAGATATAAAAAGATTCTTCAAATAATGGTATTAATATGTATGATAGAATTATTAGTTTAAAATTAGATGGGGCTTAGAGATACATGAAATCTAATTTGGCTGAATAGATCAGGCCCGATTAAATAAAAATAATAACTTCAATATTTTGTTAGGATTTTCTAATAATTCTATTTCAAATTGTCGCTAAGTATAGAATTATGATTATAACTTGATATATTCCTAATTATTTATTAGCTAAGTTTATATTATGCGTGTAATTCGTCGTCCTTTGAAAACTTTCATCGCATTTTCGGTTATAATAGCACGAGAAATTGAAAGGAAAAGGGGGCTTAAATTATCCCGATATTTTGCCAAGATTAGGCGTGCTTTCTTAATATCATTTGCCCTGCTTCGCTAATATCGATATTTCCCTGGAATAGCCTCGATATTATCAACGAACATACAAAGCAGTACGTTACTACGGGTGGGATTTAACGCGGAGATCCACTCCCCAGAGTTTTAGTTTTCGATCGCAGCTGGACGTAGAATCGACTACTATCTCTCCCTCTGCTCTTCATCTTCTCTCCAGCACCGGCAGGTAGGCGTCCCTCGAAAAGCGCTTAATCCTCCGGCCAGTCGAAAGCCCCTCTGCCGGTATTACGGCAAACGCTGATTTGTGGTCGCGGCAGCGACATTATTTATAATTTGTGAGTATTAATAGCTGACTCACACGTGTATACCTACCGGGGATATATATTGTACCAGATCCTTTTCAGTCTCATCGATCTCGCCTATCGTCGATAAATTTCCTTCTCGTTCGTGGCCAGTGGTACAAGTTTCGCTTCTACCGCGGTTCTATTTCACCGTGTGTATAAACATGTACGCACATACGAACTTATCTCTGTACATGATCGCGACATAGCGATTTCAATCTCCCCTTCTCCTCTTTTTTTCCCCCTCCTGACAAAGCTATGAGTTTCTGGCGGAAACGCGCCCGGGTGGGAGTAATTATTAATCCCTTCATCGTCGCCGGACTGACGAAGCTGACAATGAAAGCCGCTTTAATTTTTGAAGGTGCGCATACGTAGGACAGTACATATGCGAGTCGCAGAGTCAGTCCCGTTTTCTAACCGCAGCCAATGTCGCGCGGCATTGTTCTCCTACTGTGGCCTCCGTCTTTCGCGGTCCGAGGAGAAAAGAAGAAAGGGTTGGTCGATGAAAGGCGAATGAAGACGGACGTGTTCGGGCGTACCTGAGAGAACGCTGAAAGGTTCTCCGGCCGACGGGAATACGTTATTCCTCGGGACTGTTATTCCGCCGCGGACTGGGTATACGCTGCGCCGTGATAACGGAATCAGATAGCTACCGTGCCATCTCTTGCCACGGAATGATACCTTACGGGGATATAACTCACCGTTTCCAGACCGATACTCTTACAGGGAGGAGGCATGCACGAAACT